GCGAAAGACCCAACCTGAGATTCACAGTTACACAATAAATAACCTCAAATTATTTGAATCATATCTACCCTACTTTGTATTTTACTTTTTTTTTTCTTCCCCCAAACCAGAATTATTTAGCACTTCCTACAGTGTCTTTGGTATCATGTGTAGTGGCCATTACTGACTGTGCTGCTGGAGTGGATTGCATCCAGAGGCTGGAAAGCTTTCATAGGCTGGAAAGAAAAGTTGGCCAGCTAGGATGCTTGGCTTGTGAACGGAAGGTGCATAAGAGCCACATGGCTTGTTAATGGTATAAAGCTATTCTCTGAATCCTGCACACACTATAGTAGGCAGGTGAGTGTGTAGGACATCACTAGACCAAATGATGGCTTGGACACCTGTGAGCCTCATATGCACTATCTCTAGAGCCTGCAGTCCAAAATACAGCATGATGTGGTCTGCTGTGGGCAAACAGAAGTTTGATCAGTTGCTTGGGTTTAGTTATCTGAGCTGTGTCTTTGTTACAGATATGTCTCTTATTATTGTGGCTGTTGCTGTTAAGAACAGCATCAGACAAGCAATAGAAGTGAGAAGGATGTTGAAGGACCTAATAAAAGGATGAATGTTTTGGCATAGGTAGGGAACAATCTGTGGCATAATACAGCCCAGATTTGCAAAGGTCTGTAACTTCTGATTTCTGTAACTTTGCAAGTGTCTGAAATGGTGGCAAAAATGCTTCAAGCTGGAGCCTAAACCCAACTGTGACAAAGGCAAACACAACTTCTGTGTGCAATATAAAAGGATTTGCATTAAAACCAAAATGAAGATTATTCTAAGAATCAAAGCCAGACAAATAAGCAACAGCAACATATTTTAGATATTTTATCTTTCAAACACAGAACATGACATAGTTGTACCAGGCACTGAAAGGATGTAAATCTACAATGGAGTCCTAAATTAGGTGCACTGAGATAACAGGAACATCCCATATCAGCTTCCTGACAATCAGCTAATACAAACACAAATAAATAATGCAGAAGCTAACAGAGAATGTACCGCAAAATTCTACTTGAAAGTATTTTTCTAGAAGAACAACTATTTTTTTTCCAAAGATTTCTGTGTGATCTTGGTAGCTGGATGTCTTGGTGGTTTAGAGGACAATCTGCCTGGAACACTTAGGTTATTCACGGAAGTAACTCAAGAGACTTTCAAGATGGGATCTGCTCTCTCCTCAATATATTCTGAAGCATGTTTACTGAGCTCATTGCAAGCAGGCCGATGTCTGATTTGGCAGGTTCTTGTCTGAATTCCACCATCACATCATTGTGGAAAACCTGTGGAACTTTCTAGACCTGGTATTCCTGACTATTTGCTATCAGGAGGCCAGGAAACAGGCAGCTGAGGAACAGCTGTGCAGATGATGAAGCAATAGATTTTATGTGCCAAAACACTCTATGCAAGTATGCAAGCTGGAATCTTGCTGTATGATAGTTTCAGGTAAGTTGGGCCCAAGTATTGGACCACTTATGAAAATTAGTTTAATTTTTCTACCATCTCACCTATTGAATCTTATACCAAGTGTGCAGTCTAAGCTCTGTCCCCTCTGAATTCCTATTTTCCCTTTCCAAACCATGATAGTCAGACACTTGGTTTCCAAAAGGCAAACACTGGGATTGTTTTTATGAACAAATAAATTGTGTGGGAGATGCATGACAGGCATAGTTTCACTTTTCTTTCTGAAATATGTGAACAGGAAGTTTTGTTCTCAGTTTAATTCTGGATAATAAGGATAAGAGGAAATAGCAATGGATTTCTTCTATTCAAGACAAGGAAATGAAGGGTGAGGCTTTCTAGCAGGAATAGAATAAATTTTGATACTAAAAGTAGTTATCTAGATAGAAGTATGCAAGGCTTTAATATGCAAGGGTTTAATATGCAGGTTTGCCAGTCCCAGGAGTAGGGTGGATTGCAGTTAGAAATTAATTGAAGCCAAATTTATAGCCAGGTAAGGCAGAGGATATGGATTCTTTGCATTAACTTAGTACACTAAAGCAGATCTGAACAAAAAGCCTGCAAAAGAAACAAACATGAGCTTGTTCCAGCTGCCTTCTCTGTCTGAAGATACAGGTCCTCTTTGTGCTGCTGGTGCAGATCTGAAGAAAAGAAAACAAACAGGATGTTCACAGCACAGAGCTGAGTTAGGAATCTTTTAAATATCGGGGTTAGTTGCCAAGGATGATGTTTGCAGTCCAAGTGCTAAGCTACAAGTTTCTTTATAAAAGCTCACCACCGGATTTCCTTGGGCTGTCATGATTTTATAAACAGTATATCTGTGCAAAACCCTGGGAGCACTCTTTCTACCTTAATATCTGAGCCATCCCACATCCATTTACTGCCTCTGGCCTTATGCTCTTCTACACAGCGGTGGTCCTAGAGGTCTGTGTTTTTACAGCACTTGATCCAACAGTATCCAGATCATTTCTAAGTCTCTCTGACATTGCAATAAGGTAAGAAATAAATACCACTACTAATAAGTTGCATTTGGCTTCCTTTCTGCTTATGTTTGTAAGCCATCTATGCCATCTAGTGGGGTACTTATTTACTTACAAGTTTTCTTCAACTATCAGGCTGTTAACAAGCCAAAGTCCAAATTGTAACTCAGTAGGAACATAGTTCAAGTCTAGAGAGGAGTTAAGGGGCACTCCCACTATGCAAGAAGCCCCAAATACATTACAGCACCTTCTAGGGCATCCCTCTGACACAGCTCTCTCCTTTGCTGTGCCAATGTAACAGGAGGTGCAGTGATAAAAATTAATCACTTGCACAACTCTGATGTTTTTGGGCTCAGGACATTATTCTCTGGAGGCTGAGAAGGCAGCTATCAGTCTTGTAACAGCAAATACCCATTGTGAAAGGGCAAGACACCCTGCATGCCCAGCATCACTATTACTATGGAAGTATGAACACTGAGTGTATGCCAAGCACACACACTGCGAAGGAAACCTTTTCCTAACAGATTCACACTCTTAGTAGTGATACCACTACTGACCCACCTGTTCCCTGTCAGAAAACAGACCATGAGAGAGGGGGGATCCCTCCACAGAGAAAACAGATCTAGAAGATCACCATCAAATATTTTATATACTTCTGCTTAGGCCTCTTTCTGAAAGGGCAGCTAATTTCAATGGAGATGTTATTTATTGCAGAGAAGTGATTGGGGGAAGAGTGTAAGTATTCATTGGCTTGAAGTATTTTGGCTATTTAAGTTTCAAAGAGAGGCAATGATAGTTAGCATTCAGACTGGGAATCTGTCTTGATTAGGGAAAGGACAGATGCAAAGTGAATGAAGCCTATTACATTGCCTTGCACACAGGAGGGAATAGAAGGAAGGAAAGAAACAACAAACTCTTCCTGAAGGAGGATGATAACAGCTGAGTTGCTTAGTAGTTAACCCAGGGGAGTATGAGACTGGTGCTTAAAATATGCTAGTGATTATGTTCATTTGAAGTACTGATATGGTGGCTGCTCCCTGCTTACATAATGCTAGCACTATGTGGTAATACTGGAGAACTGATTTGCTCATCCCTTAGGTGAAAAGAAAAAGACATTAATAGTTTCCAAAAGCCTCCTCATCCAAGTTTCCTCAACTGAGGAATACATCCACATCACTAAACTTTGAGGGAAATGGTTTAAAATCTGGGAGAAGAGAAAAATCTTCTGTTAAGAGTTCACAATATTCTATTTTTTAAAATATCTATAAAGTGCTTTTTCCTCCATTTTTTTTTTTGTTTGTTTTCTGTACCTTCACCATGTTTGCAGCTGCTATTTCACATGAGACAACGTTATTTTCTTCTGGCACTTGAACAAAAGCCTTACCATTCACTGGCAGAAACAAGGAAACCTTATTTTAATCCACCATGCAAGTGGTATCTAGTAACAAACGAATGCCCTAACAAGCCTGGAAGCCTGTTCTGTGATCTACTACACAGGAGTCTGGAGCCATCAGTGATACCTAAATGCCACTGTTTTCATCACACACTTGTAGGTTGGTGCTCGGTGTAATCAGTGTTGCATGACAAGATGTGGAAAAGCTTTCAGTGACCAGCAGGAACAAAGAATACTCACTTTCTTTGTAAGGGACTATTAAAAACTTAACATATGCTACAGAAAGTAGTATTAACCATTTCTGTACTGCATGAGGCACTACTGCCACACAGCCAGAGGCTGGCAAGCAGGAGTTGTACCTCTCTGCTGCAGTAACTAGGAACAACAAATGACCTTCTTCAGAGCAGAAGTTATCACTGCAGTGTTACATAGGTATTAACAAAGAAAGGATTTGCGGCTGCTTGAATTAGGGCAGAAAGGACAGTAGGAGATAGGACGTGGCCCAATGTATGGCTTATGCATAAAATTAATATAACTAGGCAACAACTTTTCTGCATCTGTGTTCCTGCAGCTTTCCAAACTGTGAGGAAGTTTTTCATATTCAGATGTTCAAGTGCCTTACGTGTACCTATACAGCAGCAGCATACAGATTAAGAAATCTAGCCACAATTGAAAACAGTCATCTTTACTGCAAATTCACTGAAGTACATAATAAATTAGTTTAATCCTCTTTATATAATAAAGAAAAATATGGATAGGAAGGCAAGTGATTAAAACCTAGTTTGGGACTGATGCTTTCTAATTAAGAAAGTTGTATCTTGGATTTAATCTGCATTCTCTGCAGATAACCTACTGGCCCAAGGTAAATACACTGAAATATAGAAATTGAGTTTGCACACAAAATGCAATATTTAAAAAATACTTCCTCAAAATTTGGAACAGGAAGTTCCAGTAGGTGGAGAAACATCCTTTAGATCTATTGCTATTTGACCTACAGTTTCATTATTCAAGGAAGAATGTTACTGGAAGCAATTTCAAATTTGTAATAGATTCTGCATCAGTACACTGATATTTACAAACTTCATTCATACCATCAGTGATACACAGTGCGATTGATGAGAGCAGAGTAACACCTATTTTTGAATAGCAGGTGCTCACAGGCAATCATGCACAATTTGTAGATAGAAACTGTTTACTCAATGCACAGTAAGTAGTATATTCAAGAATACTCTCTGTTGTGTGTGGGTGATATATAACAGATGACAGAGGTGGAATCTGTTGAACTGTTGACTTCTGCATTATTTTTTTCGTTGTAATGACACTGAGGATGGATTGAACTTCCTTTACTTACGATGAAAGGGTACACTTAGAGTCATCAGGATAATCCAGGCAGAGTAAGAACATTACAGACCTGTGAAGATACCATTTTATTTAGCATTTTTCATGTAGAAAACTGAGGGAAAAAAATGAAAAAAGCAAAGAAACTCATTGGTATTATCATGTGTAAAGCTTCCCTTCAGTTACCTTTATCTTCTAATGTACTGTGAATATCTTAGAGTTGTCAATACTACTGTGACTAACTACTAATTCTACAAACATTCAATGGTGTTTTTAACTTGTTTAGGTTTTCAATCCAAATAAACATTTTACAGTGAAGTGTAACACATGAGGCCATCTTCTGTGCCTGACATTGGGTAAGTACAATGTTCCACTTAATTATACAATCTGGTGTAATGTTTTGCTCAATTCATGGCTGCTAAATGCAAAGTCTGAAAAATGTGGCATCACCCCTCCACCATATCAGTCTCTTACTGAAGGCACAACATTAATGGCACTTAAGAATTAAAAGGCAAAAAAACCCATTTAATATAGATGAGGTTCTTCTGCAAATATAGCATACTAATGAAGGACTTTCACTTACTTGTAATTGTCAGCACAGGTGACATCATAACCAAGGGTTTTCAGCCTGTCTTCTAATATCTTTACAGTATGAGTTCCACAGGATTCTCTGTGAGAAAGTATTTTAATATTATCGCAAATCTTTTATTACCTAATTTCCATTCACTGAACTTGATGGAATTAGTAAAGTAAATCCCCATTACTTTTCCTCTTCTCTATTCCTTAACACCTACAGAAAAGCATTGTACACTGCTATTTATAATGTGTCATTTGCTTACAGTTGTTTAAAATTTTATACTCAGTTTGCAGAGACTGGAAGATTGGCTTCACCCAGTGTAGCATTTGCAGATTCTATTAACCAATATTCCCACCTTTAATATGTCACTAGACAAACAGAAAAAGAGCTATATCATTTTCTAAAAAAAGTGTTTCATTTGTAATATTCTTTGGCAGCTATTTAGTTGGTGCTAAAGTTGTTGCTACCTGTCTTTACAAAGTAAGTTGTTACTATAAATTAGAATTATTCTTGTTGAAAGTGTGCCCTCTCTCTTGAATACAGAACAATAGAAAAACACAGAGAGAGAAAAGAAACCAAAAACCATCCGAAAAGGAGCTTCTGTGTCTAGCACTGACTTTGTAATTTGTGGTTCAGTTATCAAAAGAAAATTCAGTATATTTCAGAACCTACTGAGACCTCTAAAACTTGCACCAACATCAAGTATTAAGGCCAGTGCTGACTGGCCCATTGGTCAGTAAATACTCATGACTCTAAGGGAATCATATGGGTACCAAAAAAGTCATTGTAAACAACAATTAATAAAACTGTACAAATATTCTCATGCATCCATTAACTGGAAAATAATTCAACATTCAGTGCTTCTCTTAATTCTTCTTTGTAATAAGGGCAACTTTTGCAAAAATGAGGTATATGGTTTGGCTTTTTTTTTTTTTTTTTTCCAAAAGAGTATAAGTCTTTGATTTAAAGAAAGAGGCTGAGAAATGCTAATCTGAACTATGCTTCACAGAATTCACCACACCATGCTAAAATATGTGGTCTGGGTTGGCCATGCCAGAATTGACTGAAAGAGAAGCAAAAGGAGGAAGGAAAGAGACAAGATGAGACACGGAAGGGAAATGAGATAAAATTAATAGATCTAAGCAAAAAGCCTTGTGTAGCAAGAACAGAAGCCCCATGCTCCTAAGTATTCAGATGACACCAGGGATTCAGCCACCAGTGATGGATATGGTGACATCTGAGCCCATTTCTCTGTCATTCTTCAGCCAGGGCAGTTTTAAGACCAATGAAGTGCCACCATGTTATATTAAACTCCAGAGACTCTGCAGATTGTTGGGGTAAAACTGAATTCCTCTGTTCATCTACCCCTGATTCATCTATGTACAATTGTTAGGGACCCCTACAAAAAAATAAAATTAATAGATTATTTAATTCTTCCTTTGATCAGTCCAAGACAGGCCTTATTTCAAGCTTCATGATTTCACTTTTTTTTCAGCTTCAGATTCCATTTTCCATTTTGTTCCTTTTGAAAATTGTCACTTGGTCTTTGGCTATTTACCAAGAGGTTAGTCTGTTTGGACTGATCTGATTTGTTTTGTTTATTTGGCTGGTTGTTTTTTGGTTTGGTTTGGATTTGGTTTGGTTTGTGGTTTGGGTGGTGTTTGTGGTTTGTTGTTGTTGGTTGTGTTTTTGTTTTTGTTTGTTTGTTTGTTTTTTCAATAACAGCAAAACTAGACCTTTTTAAAGGCTACATTTTATCATTTATCACTTTTAAGGCTTAAGAGAAAATGAGCCCCCTGTTGGTATTTCTCTGCTTATACTAACTCTCCAACAGTTAAGATAGGTGAAAAAGGAAAAGAATTCAAAAGAAATATTTCACGCCAGCATTCAATCTGAATTTCAGATTGCCTATTTGCTTAGTAAAACTGTATGTGCTATATCTTCACTCAAGGTCTGAGATACACACACACGTATCTAATCAAGAGAGGACTCCAGACCTAATATTACAATTTATTAATATTTTGTCTCATTCTGTTGTTTCTATACTCTTTCAGAATAGCAAGGTGTACCTTCTGTGTTAGTGAAAGATTTTAAAATATTTTTAATTTAATTGCTGTGCAAATATAATCAAACAGAAAGCTAAGGTGACATTCTAAAGACATATCCAAAAAGGAGAAATTATTTTTTCTGGAATTTGTAACTTACATGTCTGGTCCTTCAATATCATCTACAACCCAGATGACAATTTGTGTTATTTTGTCTTTCTGGAGATTAGGTATTTCATAATCTGCAAAGAAACTGATTCAAGAAGCAAATAATTAGAACTACAAAGAACATGAAAAATAAAAAAAATGTTTTTTTCCTTTGCATTAATAAAGGCTCTGCTCCTGCTGTAGGCTATGGGCTTGCTCAATTTTACATTTATATCTATCTCCTGATTACAGTCAGACTTCAAACACAGTAGAAAAAATCTGGTTCACATTCTGAATGTCCTCAGAACATTTAATCAGAACTTTTGTTTTCATATTCTTCTCTTACAGGGCCCAGCTGAAAAAAGGTTACAAATTAGAAGTGAACCAGCATGAAGTGAACTTTAAAAACCACAAAACAAAACAAAACAAAAAGTATCTGATAGTAAAAAAAGAAGAATGTCATTGTTGTAGTTATTGCTTTTAGACACAATAGGATTTAGCTTTAAAGAAAAAAATGACAGTCATGAGACAAATATATTTTTAGGTACAAAATCACAGCAACAGTAACATGAAATATTTCTCTCTGATATACATGACCATAAAGGGGAAATTTCCAGATGTGTCCATCCCTGGCCTAGGGAATTTTCCATGTTGTTGCTTTGTGTAAATTGACATTGATAGGTATTTAAATAACAATTACACCAAGATAATAAAATGGCAGCTAAATCATAGAATCCTAGAGCAGTTTGGGTTGGAAGGCACCTTAAAGATCACCTAGTTCCAGCTCCTCTGCCGTGGTGGGGGACACCTTCCACTAGACCAGATTGCTCAAAGCCCCATCGAACGTGGCCTTCAACACTTCCAAGGACAGGGCATCCACAACTTCTCTGGGCAACCTGTCCCAGTGACTCACAATTTCTTCCTAATATCTAATATAAATATATCCAATCCAAAGAATTATTTTAATGTCTGGAAACTGCATTTTATGTGAGATGCAGGCATTTCAAAGCCACAGATTTTGAATCCTTCCATCAAGATGTACTGTAATGATTTCCAACCTTTTAATTGCTCTGTGTTTTTTTTTGTTTGTTTGTTTTTGTTTTTTTTTTTAATTTTTCCTCCGTTTATAAGGGCTGTGTTTGCACTAAATGCTTTGTCCAAGCCTGAGCCTGGGTGTGTGCTTTAATTTGCCTATCATGGGTCTTCTTAAATGTCTACATCTGGGCTGCAGTGTCTCTTAGCCACTTTAAAAGCTCTGAGATCCCCCCAAGCTCAAAGGAACTGTTAGTTGTCACCTCCTGGATGAGACCCATGTGACCCCAACTCTGTCCTCCTGGTGCCTGCAGGGAAACTACTGGTGTGGAAGCAAAGGACACATGGTGGTTGTCAGTGTCTGTTTGCAGACAGCTGAGAGCAGTTCATAATGTTAGCAAGTCAATTTAAACTGCTGGGGAAATGAAACATGAGGAGGCGGATACCAACAGTTGCCCTCTTTGGTCAAGTCTGGCACAGCTGTGGCTAACCAGAGACCAGGAGCAGCAACAGCAGGTTTGCTGTCTGTCCAAGGTGTCCAAGCCTGTCTTAAATACATAGTGAAAAATAACCAAAAATAAAGATTCCAATTATTTTTAACTCATTGCTCGTTCATGCATATGTTATTGCCAGCAAAAATGCAGCTTCCACTGAAATATAAATGAGTGTTTAACTAGAGGAGACAGAAGCTGTGGAGGAACTATGTACAACTAACTTCATTAAACAAATTTTTTTAACCAGCTTATACTAATTGAAGAATCCTCAGTAATACAGTTGTCCTCAGTAAGCACACAAGAGGAGGATCAACTACATACTGTGTGTATGAGCAAAGTTATTTTTCAGTGAAGTGACAAATAACTGAAATGGTAACAGGTGACTGAATGATGATTTAAGTGTACAAGCTGTAATGCAGGATAAACTTTGGAAGTGGCTTTGAAATGCTTGAAAACAGACCAGAGAGGTATTTAGGAAGACAGGAATATCTTTCTATTTACCTTCTGCTATTAATTATGCAACTCTAAGCCTCTTTCAAATGAGATCTCTTAAACAGATTTATCCATGGACCAGAAGATACACAGCAAAGAAAACAGATGAAGTAACTGGCTTTATTTTTTTTTCTTGGCAGGCTGTGTTCCAGTAGTGGAGACTTCACTGGTCATGTTACCTCCAGGTAAGCCAGGGAACTCATGGAGTTAATTTATGTGTAAGAGGTTTCTAAAGTAAGGGATCTGTAAATTAACAGAAATAAGGGATCTGTTTCTGAAATAAGGAATCTCTGCCTACTGCCAGGTACTACCATCTGCAGAAGTCTTGATCCCAGCTGACCACCTGACGAATCCAAGGAGACCATATAAATCCTCTTGATTAGCTGAAAGCTGTACAGAGATGCACCTTTTAGGGAAATGAAGTATGTAAATAGTATGTAGATTTAGAACAGATGGTTCTTGTTTCTTTCCTATCTGAAGATAAAATTAACTTTTTAATGTTCATTTTTAGTCCTCAGTAAGCACACAGGAGGAGGAGCAGTTCCAAAAATTTTTCAAAGACTTTTTTGATCTGCCTTGAACAGGCTAGTTGCTGAGGTAAGGGAAGATGTATTTTTATCATCCAAGGTAGTCAGTCACTACAGCCACATAGTCAGTAGAAGTTTTTAATGGTGCACTTTTACCATAAATTTTAAAGATAAGCTTAGAGTAAGTCCTGTATAGTGGTACACTTATAAATCAGGGAATATACATAGATCCTTAACATACAAGAGAACAAAGAGAAGAGGAAGCTAACCCTTGCTATTTTCCTTCTCAGCGAGATTTTAGCTTTCTTAAGCCATAACAGATTTCAAACTACCTCCTCTCTTGGTCATGGAGAAATAGCTGGACTCTTTTCCTACAGAGCTTCCCAACTTTGCTTCTAGGCCTGACAGAAGCTACACTCCTTGTAAGGATGTGGTCTCCTTGGAGATGTCCCTGAATAGAAATTTTGTAGCACTTATCTTTTTGAAGACACACTTTTTACCACAGAACCTTTGCTGACTTGAACTCTGCTTTCAAAGAACATCTATCCTGCTTGCCATAACAGTTTGAGAAATGCAGGAGTCAGAAGGATTGCTTCCATCCATTTCATGTTAATTCCTACAGCTGGGGACAACTAACAGTTGTCACAAACTCACAGATTTTATGACACAACTCAGCAGATTTTGATGCAACAGGCTCTTTCTGCTACACTTCCCATGTTCTGTGCAGCAGAAGACCCAAACAACTGGTTGACCCTTTTTTTGCAGGTATCAAACCATGTATATGTAAATAAGTCAGTTTTCTTACCCTGGGTCTGGATAAGCTCCTCCGGCTGCAGAACCATTCAGCAAGACGTGTATCACCCCAGAACTGTGCTGTGCATACTGCAATACATAACATTTTTTTTTTCAGAACTCGTTGAACGGATTTGTCATATGACTTGGTATTGTATTGCAAGCAACAATGATCAAGGAAAGAATTTTACCCAGAACAATACCAGAATTGTGAAACTAATACCAAACTAGCACCCTAGCACATCACTGCAGTAGAGAGGACAGGAACTAAATAGCCAATGCATTAATTCAATGCATCTTCTGGAACTATTTTCTCACACCTATGAGGTTCTTCAGCACAGGAAGAAAGCATTTTGTCATTCTGTGTTGGGTTTGATTTGTGAATAAAAGGGTTTAGACCAAGGCTATCGAATGTCAATTGGGACAAGAATTCAGTAGACAACTAATGTGCTTATTGTGCTTAGAATATGCTTAATATATTAACATCTATATTAGTGACAAAGCTAACCCAGAATTTGAACACATTATTCAGCTAAGGTGAAAGTTAGGTTCCTCTTGCTAACACACTGTACCCAGTCTGAACCAGTGTATTTTTATCAGAGGAAACAACCTAGCACAGTTACAGACTTAAATCTGGTCTGATCTGGCAATGTTTTCCTGAAGCACACAGGACATGCTCACTAATGTAAGAAGCCAGCACTAATGCACTATTTACAGTGGCTGAGGCCATCCTCCAGAAAGATTCCACTGCGTTGTTTTCACATTCCTCTGTGGTAGGGCAGGATTCATAGTCCAGTCCTGTAGGAAGGCATGTGATTTGTGCTATTAGAGAGCTGATAATGACTGTAAAGCATAACGCTAGAAAGCAAATAACTCTATTTGTGCATTACTCATTGAACATACAGGATGGTCTGACATTTGTATTTTTTTCCATCATTTTCCATCCTTTGCAGTTTACACACACAGTGACGTTCTGTGTATTCAATCATTTGGCTGAAATGGCTCCTACTGTCTATCTGGGATGCAGAGAGCTCCACGTTCAGAGGACTGGGAAGGAGGTTTATCTCCGGTGCAGCACTATTTAGAGTTCACTGTGTGTTCCCCTGACTGCAGTGTTAAATATTCACAGAAAACAGGAGAGAATGAGATAGTAAAGCTCTCCCTCATTCCTCATGGGGTAAGAGGAAAATCAGCTCCTTCAGAACACAGCAGTCGGTCTCCATTATGGTTTTAGAGAGATGTTTAATATGGCACTCATTGTCTTACCAGTGCTGTCTGCCTGTCCACACCAGTTTAGAAAATCTCCAAAGGAGCCAAACAGAGTATCAGCCAGGGACATGTAGCGACGGCCTCTGTCAGCAAAGCTATTGACTAGCAGGTGATTATTTTCCCAGAAGAGAGACTATATTAAAAAAAGGAATAAAAAATAGAGAAGAAATGAACCATCACTTGGGTGTGGACACAATGAGATTATGGGGTGCTGAAAACATTTTAAACATGTTTTGGTGTTTCTTTCAAAATCAAGCTAATAGCCAGAAATGTTAGCTGTCTCTCCAGAGGAATGAAGTGAGTTTTTTTTTATCATAGTGGTGTAAGTTCTGATCACTGGGGGCTTGAGGGGCATTCATACCATTATGGGAATGGATGTAGACCTGCGTTAAATCTTGACAGGCCTAGCTTTGACCTCCTCAGCAGACAGTTAGGAAAAGGCAGAAAAAAAAGGGAAGACAGATATTTATAAGCCTGATACATCTTACCAGAATTCTCCCAAAATGCTATGTTGGCTTATCGTGTGAAAAAAAAAATCATATATCTGGGTGTCATTGCTGTGTTTGCAAAATTCTGTCATGAATTAAGCCATGTTGACATGACTATTTATTTAGCTTGTATCCCACATAGAGATAAGCAATAATTGTGCTTTAAAGCACAGCCTTTTGGAGAAGGCCAAAGCACACATGCGGATGAGATATGATGGCACAGGTGGTTTTTGCACTTTCAGTTCTCAGCAATTGCCAGCACACTGAATCCTTACTGTTTTCTACCATGTAATGGCATCCTACCTCATTTCTCCTTATGCTTGTTTTACATGTCAATGTTTAACATGTCATTGCCCTGAGACTTGGCTGTGAGGAGTGGAAGTAAAACAGGATAGCAAGCACAGTCTTTGCAGGCAAAGCACCTAACTTGAGGAAGAGTACAACTGGAAGTTCAGGTATTACGACAGGGCTGCCAACACAGCAGGAAAAATGGGGGACCTTTCTAGTATGAAAACAGAGAAGTTACTGAGAAGTTACTGCATAAAATAAATGCAGCCAAACAGTGAAAAAGGCCATCAAGCCTGTGCCTAGTTTGTAAGTGACAGGCCGAAAATAATGAATCACGAGTCAGCCACAGAATGACTCTTGGTCAGTTTTGAACTGTGTTGTGGAAAATTTGCTGGATGTCACTGGACGGTTAACATACAATTAATAATCATTACCTTGTTAGGTGGAATTGTGTGCAATGACAGATTGATAAATAATTCATAGTCGTTAGGTAGAATGCTGCAAGGATCCTTGTTAATAAACGCATTTTTAAACGCTTCCCATAACTCTGAACAATTCTTCTCGCTGTAAGAATGGAAACAAACAAATATCACGATTGTTTTTTTCAAAGCAGAGCAAGAAAGTATTTTGTTCCCAGCTTCTTCCAGTTCCTAAATGACAACCCCTACAAGGTTAAGGTTGAAATCTGAACTCAGGGTGGTAGAAAACTTGCAACCCAGGAAGAATGTATAGATCTTATCTTTTCCTGACTTGTAACAGCAGCAGATTAGGAAGAAGTAGCAATGAAAATACCAGTCCTTACAGTGTGTAATTAGAAATAAATAGTAATTCCACAAAAATCTTAGAAGGTAAGTATACACAGAAAGCTTGCTAGCCAACATTGTAGAAATACTTGAGAAAACAGCTTTCCTTGAAATTTTCTAGGTTCAAAAAGCCATTTCAATTTAAGTGTAGCTGATTGTGAAAACTACTGGAATCTGAAATTGCTCTTGAAGTGTCAGATTCAAGTGCAGGAGTAGTTACAAAAAAGTTTTGATGGTAGAATTTTTTAGGTTTTGACAAAGAGATGCCTTCTGTGTATTTAGGCCCTAGGAATTATGCAGCTTTACCATGCAGGAATGAGTACAGTGACTGTGTGGGACACGTACTGTTGCTGTGCAGGAGCTACAAGCATGCTGGTAGGATCCAACATTTAAACTGCTTGTGAAAGGAGGCCTGAAATAAGTTGCTAGGCCGTGCACTTCGACAGTGCCCTTCTGCCAGCTCTGCAAATCTCAGGCCATCTAGGGACAGAAGTACCTTATCTCTGGATTTGCAGGATCTCATCTGTTACAGCTCTGAGCATGCCTGGAGTAATTAAAAAGGGAATTGCTACTTTCACCACTTTCCCACAGTACCTTCCCCACCTAACAGTGTGAGAATGTCTATGCCAGGGACACTCCACTGAACAGAATAAGGTATTTTATGTGCATACAGCATTCCTCATGTGAGCAGCTGTAATTGCAAAGCTGTAGCTTGAAAAACAATTGTCCAGATAATGAAACCAAACTTTGCCATTAGAGTGCTTTGTTCATTTAGTGTCATCCAGAGACAGCAAGATTTCTGCTGACACTTCTCATGAGGTTCTTTAAGGAGCTGCTTTGTGATGCTGAATGTCACAGACACTTTAAAGGACCTTGTGATGAGCTATGCAGCTCCCGTACAGGAGACAGACCACAGATTCTCTTACAGTAATCTCTGGTCATGCTTCCAACAAGTACAGAAAAAAACCCCAATATATTGTAAGCAAATATAGAATCTTGATCTGAAAATCTTCAGTGAGACAATAAGACCTTTGATCAGTATCTCCAATGTTTAAATAGCCTTACTTGCTAAAAGAATTTGTACCCTATTTCTGATTTCAAGCTCTTAAACTTTAGCTTCTGACAATTGTATACACTTATGTCTCATTCTGCTAAAAAGCTGTCTGCTGTAAGCACTCACTTATTCATGTTAGTACTTGTAAATTACGATCAATTCAACCCTTCACATCTTTCTGCACAGTTGAATTTTCTGGTTAATTTACATACTGCTTTTTTTTCCTTCATGTCTTCTCATCCAAGTTTGAACAGCTTGTAAATCAAAAGGATTATTCTGCTCTGTTACTCAAAATTGCTTAGCTGGCAAAAAAACCCTTACCCTTTTCAAAACGACAGGGTGGGGACGGACTGTGGTTCAGGACAATTCCTTCTGATCACAGTAGACACTAATAAGTCAGATTTGTTTCAGTCAGTTACAAAAAAAAAAAGTTTTCAAAACTTCCATTCTGTACTGCAAATCAAGAAATACAGGGGAAATGCACTGCAGGAACATTTATGTTCTATAGCATACTCCTGTTAAAAAATTTCAAATATTATTTTAATCCAAATCTCTGCCTCCTACATTTTGTGAAATGCCTCTTTAAGTGTTACTTTTCATATTCTGTTTTAATGTAAAGGATTTTTTATGTTTCTACAAACATCTTTTATGTTTTAACTATGTTGCAATGTAAAGACATGCTTTGCTAGCTTATTTTCTGTTAGCAAAGTATTTTAAAACAATTATTCAGTTTGTATATAAATTCAGAAGCAAAACCTATCCAGGTGGCTATGCCTCTGTAAAAGCTCGCCTGGGTGCAATTAAGAAGCAAACAATGAACAGAAAGGGTTATAAATAATTAGAATATCTGTTTTGCACTTGTGCAATATGAAGCTTCCATTTTGCTCAGATTACACTATTTGCTTATAGACCTAAGGGAAAG